GGAATTCATTTGTTTAGTCAATTACCAAAATTTGGATGATTTTGAATATTCACTTGAAAAGTTATCAAAGAAAAACATTTTTCATTTTGTAACTTCAAGGGCCCGTTACTTGGTAACGAAGGATTTTAGGAAAAAAAGTTATATGAAGTACTGGTGATATTTTGACCCCATCTATACATTCCCGAGAGGAAAAGAGGAAGTCCAGGGACACCCTGTATATATGGAGTGGTTTGAAACTCTGGCCATTGAAAAAGCCCACAAGAAGCCCCGAGTCTGGTTGAGATACGTAGACGACATCTTCATAATATGGAACCATGGGAATGCAGAACTAGACATTTTTCTGAAGCACATCAACAACGTAAGTCCTTCCATCACTTTCACAATGGAGAAGGAAATCCACAACGAATTGCCTTTCTTAGACATATTGGTGAAAAGGACCAACACTAAATGGGAAACATCTGTATATCGAAAACTCACTCAAACAGGACCGTATCTGAACCAGAAATCCAACCACCATCGATCGACTGAGAGAGGAATCATCAAGACTCTACTAGACCATGCTTTCGAGCTCTGTAATACAAAGGAAGGTCTCGAAAAAGAAATAGGTATCAGCAAAAATGACCTTCAACGGAGTGGTTACTCCAGAGTGATGGTAGAACAGGCTTGAGCTAGAAGACAGCAAGAGCTCGACAAGGAACAGAAGCCGCCACAACCAGTACTTGTACTCCCCTACATCAGAGGATTATCGGAAAGGATGAGAAGGATTGTGTCCAAGTATAACATCAGGACCTGCTTCAGATCTGGTAACACTATCCGTAGCAGCCTCACTAAAACCAGGCCACCAAACGCGGACTGCGATTCCAAGAATTGCATTTACCGGATACCCTGCGAGTGCGGAGAATCATACATCGGTGAAACTAAGAGGCCATTGAAAGTTCGCATTGCTGAGTACAAGAAACACACACAGCGAGGAGAAACCAGCAAATCCGGAATAGCAGAGCATGTTTGGACTCATCAACATAATACCAAGTGGGCTCAAGCTGAAATCATCCACAAAGAGGAACACTGGTTTTGGAGGAAATTCAAGGAAGCCGCGTATATGTTATTCAAGCTAGCGTAGAGATACGTAACATATGGAAACCTCTTATCAAGCGAAAACGACTAACTCCCGTCAAACGGTCATCTCCCGCTAAAGCCAATGAAGCGGAAAGAGGGGATAGGTGAAAGGTAAAAGCACACAAATGACTTGGTTTGGAATCTTTTAATTTTTAATTTCATTTTTCATTTTTAATTTTTGTTAATGATTTTATTAAAATTTCAATTTTTTATTTTCTGGTTGTAGCTTGTATGTTATTTCATTGTAATTTCAGTTTTTTGTTTTGATAAAATTGTCATTTTTGGTTAATCTTTTATTTTTTTCTTCAGAGAATTCAAATGAATTTATATTATATTAGACAATGAAAGTCCGAACTGATGAAATACAGTTGTATGAAGTTTCAAATCATCTGCAAACATTAACCTATTGCAGTTCAATGATTCACAAAGATCGTTGATGAAAATCAAAAATAATACTAGACAGACATTTGAATCTTGTGGTTCTAGTAGCTACATATATATCCGAGTTGAAGCTGTTATAAGGCACGGAATGTTTGCAATGATTCAGATAAGATTTTAGGGTTTCATGTATTTCGAATTAAAACAAAAGCTCATAAGTTGACGAAGGAGAAGATTATGGTTGATCTTTTCAAATGCCTTCAAGAAATCTGTACACACAGCATCCACATATCCTCTGTTATCGAGTTCTTCATATCAGAATTAGCAAAATAACTACTAATTGTAGATCTGAAATTCATAAAACCGTATTGGTGAATTGATACTTATACATAGATGCGGTTGTATGAAATTTTCTCGAAAAGTTTCGCGAAGTTGTTCAAAGCTCCCAGATCGGGATCATCCACATAAGGAGGCTTTCGAAAGATCGTTGCAACATTTCATGTTTACCTGATACCGTTGATTACCTGAAATAGGAAACATGGCACGAAGTATCTCGAAATGAAGACATTGAGTTCATAGCATTGGAGTTTGTCGCAAAGACTCCAAATTTATGTTCTATCAGACAAATTTCCAATTTAACTGTCATAAGTCAGTCTAGCGACAGCAAAATCTAACAAAACACTAATATTATACCTATCGCATTCAGCTTCATCAGAATTTGTAGTCTTGACTTTCGCCATCGAATTGAATTTTCTTAATGGGCAAGTGAACACGAGCAGGAGAAATGCAATCCTTTCAACATGCAATCCAAATTTGTTTGATAATATTTGAAGTCACTGAATTTAAAATATTCATGACACGTCTGAGAAATATTTTCAATTTCGTTTAGGCATTATACAGTAGAGATGTAAGGTTCAGAGTTTTGAAGAAAAATATTTTGGTCTTTCGAATCAACTGTAACGGATCTGTAGGTATCTAACTAAAACATCTTACAATTTTCATCTGCGTAAATGTAGTCGGGAAAATACCCAATGATATATTTTTACGAAAATAAACGACGTCATTTAGCAATCAGGAGTCATCGTGATCCCTAGGAAAATTCTATAAGCTTACTCCATTCTATGGAACGATTATTCATTTAAATGTGAAGTGTTTTCCAATCTCAAGTAATGAGTGTGTATTTCACAGCTGGATTGTTTATAACGTGGGAGGATGTGAATGAAATATTCATTTCAATGAAATAATTATCGCTTAGATAATTAGTTTGTTGTCGTCATTCAAATCAGGAATAATTATTCAAGCGGTGTATTATACCAAAGAAGGAATATTGGTGGAAATTTTTGTCATACATTGATTTTGGTCAACCGACAAATAAATCAAGATTTCCTTCATATCTTGTCTCAACTAACTGGTCTTAGCATTACAAAATGAGTTGGCCAAATTTTGAAAAAATCATTCAAAACAAAACCAAAGTTTCGAAAAGCTGGTGCTGAACTTGTTTCACTGCTATTTTTGACAAATGGTACTTTTGTTGGTCTAAAGCTCATTTTCAATTTTTTGGAAGTATGAATAAGATAAAAAAACTGTCAAATACGTCCACTGATATGAAACAACTCATCCTAAATGTTATTGATTTAGTGAACAATGACAAAATTCTCATTACGTTCAGCATCAAATTTATTACGTCTAAATTCACTTATTCACCACTTCAAGCTTGTACCCAAGTTGTCTCTTCAGAAAAAATAGAAATTGTTTTGATATATGGCGAAATCACTCAATATTTTCAATGAGCGATATTCAGAAAACAAGGTGCAGTTCAATACTATGACAAGAATAATGACGAAGTTCAGCAAAGTGATTCCGTAGAAAATTGTTTGAAAAAACTCACGTTTCTACCAAGCAAAATGATTTTGTTTAGAAATAAATTTCAGGGTTACAAACCCCAATTTATAAAAATTTCTCAAGAATGATATTTTGCTGTCGAATTAAAGTTTTTTTAGTTTTCAATGAGTTGAGAAATTTTCAAATGTGCTCATTGAATTAAATGATGAACTTTTATTATTTTTTCGAAAGCATTCAAAACTTGAGGAAATAATGAAACTTCAGAATTCAAAATTATTGGTAAACCACATTTTTCCTGATTTTTTTTATATTTAGTAGTTAGAAAAAAATAAAACACTCACACCTTGAAACACTCACACCTTGAAACACTCAAATGACTTGGATTCCAAAAAATAAGTGTCAATGTCATGCAACACAGTCATAAGACAGGAGAAATTGTCGATGAATACCTTCAAGTACTGGAACATTTTTGTCAAAGGAATGATAATACTAGAAATGTCTTCATCGCCAGTGTGTATACAGCTAGGAATGTAAGTAATGAAACTTTCCACGAAAATAATTTTCCGGAGAAGGTTACGTGTAATGACTACTGCAAAAACTCTTGTTTGTTTATTATTGTCTACACTATAAATCACTGAGAAAGATCTAGAATATCTATGCCTAAGCAATAGAAAGAAGTGCTAAGGGAAAATCTCCCATATTACCACTTGAAAATCGCCATAAAAAATAGGGGAAACAAAAGGCATTCCACAGGGTTTTGTTATCGATTTGACGATAATGTAGTTTTGAGCCATAACCTACCAATTCATTCTTGAATAGTTGGTTTTGCTAATGAGCTTGCCTTGATGGTGACAGATGAACTGGAACATTGAAGCGAAGTAGTGTCAGGGATTACTGGCATAGGGATGAAACAACGCTATCACAACTTATACCTGAAAATACTATAGCGGTGATATTTTAGAGGAATGGTGATATAAAAAACACAACACATCATTCGCTCTCATTGAAACCCTTATAGAACCAAAAAATTTGTCAAATACCTGAGAATCATAGTAGACAGAGAAAAATGTATCAAGTATCATTTTGATAGCTGAAAAAATATACACTTGTATACACTTTGCTCGAAACATCGAGGTTCACCAAGAGCTTGAAAGGACATTTTTAATGTTTAAAAATATGTTTAAAATATGTTTTTTCCGTTAACCAGCAATCCTACGAACGACAACCCTCAGAAGTCGAAACTTGTGTGAGCTGAGGTCTTACCTTTTAACGTGTGATTCTTGACACGGGTTGAACGATAGCAAGCAGCCTGGGGCTCAAACCATCGACTCACTCATCGGCCGAGTGAGCAAAGCACCCACGTCGAACCGCCCGGCTACCGACCGACTGAAATAATCCTCTAGGCATGATCTACACACATTTATGAAGCTGTTTCAATTGATAAATTATATATGCGTAGCTTATGTTTACCTCTATCGCTATTTTTACATTACATTTCCTGAAATAACAATTTTTTTTATTCGTAAACATCCAAAAACAGCATTTTCAGTTTTTCCTCTATAATTGGAGAAGAATAAAACTACCTGTAAATATTTTTCCTATTTAATCATTTTCATATCTGTTTAAAAAAATGTGTTTAAAATGTTTTTATTCGTTAATCAGCTGTCGCCTCCATATGAACGACAACTCTCAGAAGTTGAGAAACTTGTGCGAGCTAAGGACTAACGAGGTCTTACCTGTAAACGTGTGATTCCTAACATGGTTTCGTTTAGAATATTGCAATGTTAAATCATGATTAAAGAAATCGAGACATGTGGAAATTCAAGATATAGAGTATTATTTTGACAAGAAATGGTGCAAAGCCAAAGTTTTAATGAATTGAATGTTTCTGGTTTGAACGATTTTTCATTTTGAATCTTTCGACAAATATTTTCTGACAAGTTGGATAAATAGATCCTGAATTTTTGTACAAACTGGGAAGATTTTGTGCTTTGCTCTTCTCATTTGATGAATTTTGATTCCGTTTTCGATTTCTCAAACGCCTGGAGTAAATTTTATACCACTTCAAAATATCATTTACACCTCACAGGTTCTTCTTAATTATTGCGTTACGACATCGAAAACTAGCTGTAGGCATAAGGATGATCCAGAAAACTACCAGGTTGTGAAATAATCATTTCAATTCATTTTGGAACATATCTGTACCGTATCTTATAGCTTTGAATTGAATTCGGAAATCTGGATTTTCTGATCAAGAAAATAGCTTGTAACTACTGTACTGTGCAAGTTCTTGTTCATTCAGAAATATGGTCCGGTGTTTCATTTGTTGTTTTATGTTTGTGTTTCAGTTCATCTCGTTTCTGATCCATTATACCTCAACATCGACAGGAAAGGATGTGAGAAACTGTTGAGACATCGGGAAAATGGTGCGTTTTTATTCAGGCCAAGTCAAAATTATTGTCTAGTGTTGACTGTGAAGAAAAATCACATGTTTTGTAACTTTGGAATCAATAGAGCATTCAATGGAAAAATTTACCTGCATTCCGAAACTGCTTCAATAATCCGTACATTTTCGAGCCTACAAGAATTTATCAATTATTACTGCCTTGAACCCATTATATTTAGGAAAACTGAGGATCCTGACGAATGGGATGAAATATGCATGAATCCGTCCCTTGGAAATGACGCATTTCAGAAAAACCGGATAAAAAAATTTATTGTTATTGAACAGTCTCACACAAAGTTGACTAAAAGTCCATAGGATATGGAAAAGTGATCAGAAACCCCTGCTTATTTGAGGAATTTGACTATTGCGGCAATGAAATGAAAAAGTATTGTGAGAATGGTTGAATTTGTATATGATATTTCAATAAAACAGTGAATACATACCCTTTTTGTACAGTAAATGTTTGAAATAATTTTATACAATACTGTCTTGAACTATATCTGGTCAACGAAGTTATATTACAACTTTATTTCTATAGTACTTCCAAATTAAGATTTTATTGACTCAAAAGGGAAGATTAATTGCACTTTATGTGCAGGGGTAAATAGAACAGTTTATTTTTTTGATTCATCATCAATCTACAACTCTTTTTAGAGTTCGTCAATTGTGCGAGCTGAGGATTGATGATGTATATATAACCTTTTGACGTGCATGATTTCTATATATCAGATATAGGAAATTCGTTTCGCAACAACTACTTTAACATGAACATTGAGTTATTAGAAAGAAAAAGTCTTTTCGAAACAACTACTTTTTTATATTTTTAGGAAATATCAGTTTTTGGGAAGAAAGGTTTCAGCTTTCTACTTTCCCTTATTCATACAAGAAATGTGGAGAACTTCCAAAAAAATGTCTCAACATAAAAGTTACTTTCAGATACAAACTGGAAGAAAAATCCCTCTCGAAACAATTAGACGGGAGAAAACGATTACACGAAAGAAAAAGTGCCAAAAAAACACCTTTTTCTATCCACCTTTTCCTATACACAGAAATGCGACACAGTATAAGTGTATGGAACATGGAACATTATCATCATTAATGGCAAACATCGATGTTTTGGGAATAAGGCACCTGTCATATTGCTATTTCAGCACCTATCTGGAACCTGAAGTATCAAACTTTTCGTCTGCTACTGCGGCAGACATCATCAGTAGTAGATCAGAGGGTGTGAAAATAATGAAAGAGAAAAGAAGAAGGTATCCAGAACATGTTATCTGGCACTCAAGGTTCGTTTTATATTGTAGTTTTGCAATAAGAAAGGATTTTGAATATTCCAACTGGGACGCCACCCACGGGGGAAAAAGGCGCGTTCATAAAATAAAGTTACTTTTTCATCAATGTTTCTTCGTACTGCTGTATTCTTGTGGGCTGAAGTTTTGTATGTAGGTTCATTTTATATAGTAAATATGCAATAGGAAAGGATTTTTGAATATTCCAACTGAAGCACCAGCTGCGGGGGAAAAAGGCGCCTTCATAAAACAACATTATCTTTTCATCACTGATTATCACTGATTCTCCATGTCCTTAAATTCCCGGTGGGTGGATTTTCATTTAGTATCAGCATTGCGCTCATGCGGAGCCAGGGCGGATCGCTAGTTTTTTATATATATTATGTCGTAAAGTTTTTGATAGCCTTAGAGGATGACGGTGAATGGTATATTTTTGAAAAAAAAAAATAATGCAACATATTTTGAATTCCATTACTTTTGAGGTTAGATATCGAACCCATTTTGTGTTTTTTCAACTTCCACAATCTGAAACATTATGAAAACTGTAACAAAGAACTTTATATAAGTGTAGAAGAGGCAGAAAAAAGAAAAATGTTCTATGTTTCAGTAACTTATCGTATTTAATGATTTCTGCCTATCACAACAAAAAACTAGGAAAGCATATACAGATACGTTTTGGAAGCCAAAACCTGCCACCGTCCTCAGAATTGGCAAACATCTAATGAATCTTGCAGTTTTTTTTGGTTCGTTTTATTTTCAAACATCCTCGATAGATATCAAAACTTTTTTGATAAAAACTCTGATTTCTCCCAAAAAAAATGAATTTCGTTCAAAATCTCTTTTTAGGAATATATCCATCAGTCACTCTGTTTAATATAACAATAATATTTATATTTCTACTATTATGATCGCAAATACGTTGAAGTTTTCTTTCAATTCGTCGAATATATTCCAAGTGTCACTTCTGATGTTTTCATCAGTTTCGTGGCAGTGTTTTATTTTTAATTACGTGTATTCTGTCAATGACCTTCGTATCCACTCATACCAGGTGTCCAGTTCCCAATTTATCTTTCGCCATAATACATCCTATGAACTTCCTACATATATTCAAGGTGTCGACTTCTAAATCAAGTGATGATGAATTCAAAGTTTTATCTGAGATGTAAATTCATTCCGCACCAACTCGAGAAGTGACTAGTGCAAGTCAAGCTCATATTTAATGGGGCAACGTCCTGGCTCGGCCCTCCTCCATGCCTTTATTTCTTATATCGTTATTGAATTCCTAGTGATTGAATATATACGGCTGAATAGGAAAAAGTATCGCCTCTGATCAAAAACGAGTTTTTATTTGATCTTTTCTGTCTACCCGAAACAGTTCTTTTATTAACAGAGACATGAAATTATGACAGAAATATTTTGGTTTCATTGAAGCGTACCAATAGAAATTGCTTTTGAACTGTTTATACAGGGTCGGAAAATTGAAAGACGACATTAGATTATAAAGAATTTGCCAAGATTTTAATATTCTTAAGAAGGAAAATTGGATGCAAGAAATATGGATCAATTTCACATTGAACAGATAGATATATGTCGTGGTAAGAGGCCATTTTACGTAAAAATGAAAGGTGTAGAGCAATTGAAATGATTTCGGCAAAATCAAGTTTCAGTTTAAATCTGTTTAAAATCTGTTTTTCCGTTAACCAGCTGTCGCACCCCTACGAACGACAACCCTCAGAAGTCGAAACTTGTGCGAGCTAAGGATTAACGAGGTCTTACCTTTTAACGTGTGATTCCTAACACGGGTTGGACGGTAGCAAGTGAAGATCGATCGTTCAGACTAGGGCTTGAACCACCGACCAACACGGCAGTCAATTCGAGTGAGTGAACAAAGCACCCACGCCGAACCGCTTGGCTACCGACTGACTGATGGATATGAATCAATATTTCCGTTTTAAAACATCTTTGAGAAATCTTGTTTATTATTATTAGGACGTAAAATAGTAGAGACCTAAATAGAAGCAGAAACTCAGTCTTTCTTCGTGAAATGAAATTTTCATTGATAGGTTCATTGAAGCAGACTGGAACAAATTCTGAGGTACCCCTTGTCGATACATTGGAGTCTGAATTGCAACCCGCCTTCTGGTAGCACAGATAAGGTTAGTAGGTAGAGGTGAAACACCAGCTATCATTTAAATTAATTTGAAACCCAACCATCAAAACATTTATGATTCACCATTAGTCTAATTGGTACTTGCTAGGCTGAACCACGAATGCATTGTTGGAGTAAATTGCCCTTAAAGGACAAAGTCTAACTTAACCTAACGTAACCTAATCTAGCTTACATACTGAGACGAAGGTGATCCAAAGAAGACTCAGTCCAGGAATATCAATGATAAACAGGTTCCCAAATGAGCTCCGTTGAGCTTCGAAGCCTCACTTATCAATGATATTCGTCGATTGAGGATTCTGTTGGTGTCCTCAAAAGACAAATGAGTCAACGGTGCATTTATGGTTCAGCATAGGTCTCCACAGATGAGACTTATGGTGGGTGGAAATAGAGCTGTGGAAGTTGCAGAAAAAGACAGAGGACGAATTTCATTCAGCGGCCGATGTCGAGGCTTGTCTCTGCAACGAACCGCCTTTAAAAGCTTCATTTATCATAGGTTACGGTTTCAGTCTATTCAATACGGCGTTGTTAGTAATGTGAGCCTTCTTCTGTGCCTGGTATATGAGCCCCTGTTTGTTATAGTTGATACAGTGTATTATGTGCGAAATTTAGACGCATAATAACTATGCTGGGGCCGAAAAAGACGTCTACGTTTGTGAATTTTGCAGAAAATAGATTATTTTCTGTTTGTTCTACTTATATACTTTTGAGATTTTGTTATCAATAAAATAAATATACAAATATACAAATATAAATATATGTACTTACCCTAGCTCATAATACTAGTACAGAACATTTTTCAATAATACGATTTTTGTATTTTTTATTTTTATTTTACTTTCTGTATATTTAATCATCTCCATATTTTCTAAACATATTCACCAAATGTAATAGTTGAAGTTCAATATAAATAACCGGGTTTAAACAGTAAAAATGTCAGGAGATGATGAGAACTATCAAGAAAGCATAACGTTTACAATTAACAGGGCAAATTTTTGTGTATCCGTCACTTAACAACTAAATTCATATACTATTGTTAGATATACTATCAAAATTTTACTGCTGTTGACTGATTCGTTGAACAGCACTTCGAACATCTTAAGTCAAATAACAGTTGTCAAACAAAAGAGACAACAATCGCCTGCTGCCCCATCGTGGTTTTCATTTTTTCAACAAATTTGGTGTGGTTCACTATAGAAAGTATTCGAAATAATTAATATAGTTTATTGTATGATTTTCACTATAAAGGATTTTACAAAAACCGCGACACCTTTTTGGCTCTACAAGAGCTTCCTCAAGCGTAAACTGTTTACGCTTGGGAAAGCTTTTGTATGATTTTCACTATAAAGGGTTATACAAAAACCAGGACACCTATTGTATAGCGAAACACGTGTCGCGGTTTTTGTTAAACACTTCATAGTGAAAATCATACAATAAACTGTATTAATTAATATGTGGATTCGTGGATTTTCATCAAATATCGGCCAGTTCTATTCAATCAAGCAAGTAATAGATCTATTCAAAATATAATCAAATTAAATCTAACTGAGACACTGAAGTGTCTATGATTCTGGGACTTCGAATATGTGTGCTTTATAATAATAATAATAATTCCCCCGACAACAGGGAGGCCGTGGACTTTTGAGTTTGGAGTATCTACTTGACAGAATGGTACTGGATACAGCCTGTAAAGTCGTCAGGAGTTCGGATCCCTTTCTCTGCATGGTCCGTGACCATGAGAGAGCAGGAATTGGAGCATTTCTCCTTAGGGCAGCTGCCCGAGCAGCTGATGAACTCGGTATAGTTTTCGACTCTGAACCCGTTGGAACCCGTTCAGCAAAAAGCTCAGATAGAAGCCGCAGAGATTACCTTACTTCTGCGGTTACACAAGGATAAGCCGATGCATGGGGTCTTCTTCAATAACATTGGAGACCTTGGCTTATCAAAGCGACTGACGTTCGCTTTTCTCAGGTCGAGTGGGCTGAAGTCGGAAACTGAG